TTATCTCTGTGCCAGGTTGATCGATTGTATAGTGTAAGGTCCACTTGTACATGGATAGCGGTGAGACAGTAAAACAACGGTCTACTTGTACATAGCGGTAAGACAGTAAAACAACGGTCTACTTGTACATAGCGATAAGACAGTAAAACAATACCCTTCTTGAATATGATGGTAAAATAGATGAGTGGGTGAAACAAAGCATTGCTTTTATGTAGTGATGAGACTAACTATGTACTGGTGAAAGTAAAATTGGAATGACAACCAGGAAATATGCAACAACCACATGATTCACCTTGTTAGGTGGGACGACAACCAGAAAAATGCAACAACCACATGATTCACCTTGTTAGGTGGGACGACAACCAGAAAATGTGCAACAACCACGTGATTCACCTTGTTAGGTGGGACGACAACCAGAAAATGTGCAACAATCACAAGATTCACCTTGTTAGGTGAGACGACAACCAGAAAATATGCAACAATCACACGATTCACCTTGTTAGGTGAGACGACAACCAGAAAATATGCAACAACCACACGATTCGCCTTGTTAGGTGAGACGACAACCAGAAAATATACAACAACCACACGATTCACCTTGTTAGGTGAGACGACAACCAGAAAATATGCAACAACCACACGATTCACCTTGTTAGGTGAGACGACAACCAGGAAATATGCAACAACCACACGATTCACCTTGTTGGGTGGGACGACAACCAGAAAATATGCAACAACCACGTGATTCACCTTCTAGGTGTGTGGAATAAGCTTACTCATTGTATCAAAAAATGGCTGGACAGAAGACAGAAGATAGTTGTGTTAAGTCAAACTGGATCCATGTCGCAGATGGGATACCTCAGGGCTCAATGTTAAGACCTTGGCTCTTTTTCATTTACATCAATGACATAGATGAGGGAAGTGATCAATAAACTGCTTAGATTTTAAATATAAGATTAACAAGGTTATAATTTCACTGTACATGTCACTGGTTATGGAGCACTGTATTAATTCTTGGGCTCCTTACCTTAGGAAAGACATCGAATTGTTGGAAAGGGTTGCTAAAATGGTGCCTGGCATGGAGGAGTTGTCATACGAGGAGAGGATGAAATCTCTCGAATTATTTTCTCTTGAAAAAAGAAGAGTTAGAGGGGATCTGATTGTGGTGTTTAAGATTGTAAAGGGAATTGATAATGTTGATGTATCATCTTTTTTATATTTAACAGTGAGACTAGTAGGACTTGGGGACAGAAATATAAATTTTGGTAAGGTAGGAGTCATCTTCAGCTAAGACAGTTTTATTTTTCTAACATGGTGGTTGGCCTTTGGAACAGGTTGCCTTCAGATGTGGTAGAGCCAGTAAATTTGAGGGAGTTTTAGGAAAGGTTTGATATCTATATGATAAGGGCTGGCTTTGAGTTTTTTTGTTTTTTTTTTCAAGTTTAGTAGATGAGATGGCCTAAATGGATTAATGCTGTACATAGAAACTTACTTCTGATAACAAAAACTTGAACTCAATTTTGTTGTCTTAACTACAAGAAGTACTTAGTTTCTTTAAGTATGTCAGGTTCAGCTAGAACACAATAAACTATTCAGAAACATCAAACAACTCAGTATCTTATTGATTTGTTCAATACAGGTCTCCCACAGAATTTTAAAACCAAGATTTATCTAAACAGTAAACCACATATCTAAAAACCAGATGAACTAATAGAATGTCTTCAAATTACTATTATGTTGCAATAGATCACAAATATAACCTGGTACAGAATAGACTCACACCAGCTGCAACCAAAAAACACAGCATGATACATTCCAACTTTAGCCAAAAACAGATTCTGATCATCGCCAAAAACAGTGCCTGATAGCATCCAGATACAGCTCAAGATGTACAAAACATATTGAAGGGTAGGCTCCAACCACAACCAAATACTAATAATAACCAAAGTTTACACCAGAGAGACCTCGGTCGTAACCAAAGTTTACACTGGATAGATCTCTGCCACAACCAAAGATAATGCAGGATATATTCCAACTGTTACCAAAATTGGTACAAGATAAATGTGAACAACAGGACACACACTAATAATAAAACAACTGAAAGATCCCTATTATATTCTTGTAATGATCATGTTTATTGAAAATTAACAAATATCCACCCTTTTTTGTCCAAACATTCGTTTTTAATATTATTTTCTTAAAGGAGCCCAACATATCTGCTTTCAAATGAATACACTCTTCTGTCTAGCACAAAGATAACGTTAACCCCGTTGTTTTACTGTCTTACCGCTATCCATGTACAAGTAGACCGTTGTTTTACTGACTTGTACATGGATAGCGGTAAGATCTCCGTTGTTTTACTGTCTTACCGCTATCATGTACAAGTAGACCGTTGTTTTACTGACTTGTACATGGATAGCGGTAAGATCTCCGTTGTTTTACTGTCTTACCGCTATCATGTACAAGTAGACCGTTGTTTTACTGACTTGTACATGGATAG